ATCCAAAGTGGGCATGTCCTTGAATGCATTTGCTTAATTTCTCTTTCTCCCTCGTTCTCCGAATTCGTCATCTTCTTCCCCTTCTTATTCTTCGGATTTTCGTCTTGGCATACTTTTTCTTTTAATGTTTTTTTTTTCTTTTTTTGGGTCTTCTTCTTCGTCTTTTCCGTCTTCTTTATCATTGACTTCAATTTTCTTATTCTTTATCTTTTCTTTCCTCTTCTTCATCGTCTTCAAGGTTTATGGAGTTTCCTACTTTGGATTTTTCTTCTTCATCTTCTGGTTTGTTCTACTCTTCTTCGTACTCTTGGTCTTAGGGTTTTCCTAGTCTCTTAATTTTCCTTATTCTTTTTTCCAGTTTTTATTCGTGTTCTTGTTCATTCTCTAATTTAATGTCTTTTGTCTTCTTTTTATGGGCCCAAATTCTTCATTTTATTCTTGCTCATATTTTCCTTCTTATTTTTCATTGTCTTTGACTTGTACTTTTTTTCTTCTTACTCTTATATATCTTTTGATTTTCTTATTTCGTCACCATTTTCTTTCATCTTCATCATCGTCTTTGATTTATTTTTCATCATCTCTATATTCTCTCAGTCTTCTTCTTCTTCTTATTTTTCAATTTGTATTAGCTTTCTTTATTCTCTACTTCTCACCAAAATTCATTATCATTAATATGTGGTAGGTTATTTCTCTCTCATAAGTGTGGGCTCGATGGATCAGCGCAATGGTAACCACCTCTTTGGTAGCTTTTATCTCTCCTTAAAGCCAGTTCTTCCCTATACTTACACATACCCTAAATACTTCAGAATTTTTTTTCAACCATATTAATCAGATAAAAAATACAGAAGGGACAAATTAACAGTGATAAAATAAAGATCAATTACATGTTCTTGAAAGCTTTAAATCTCTCTCAAATGATGATAAATGCTGATCAATTTCATGACCCTGAAGGCTTTAACTCTCGCAAGCATGGGAGCAAAACCATTGTATCAGAGTGTAGATAAGCAATCCATTTCCTAGCTTTTGTCATTTTTTCTTCTCGTTCTTTTCTTTCTCAAAAGCGTGGTCGCAAAACCATGGTTTCAGTGCGTAGGTAAACAATCCTTTTGGTAGCTTGGATACTTCTAACTTTCTTAAGGTCTCTCTAGTTACTTCCAATATGTCTCCTACATCAAACACAATAATGTTCTCCTCTATCTTCTCTTTTGGATCTGTCTTGACCTTTTCTTCTGATCTAGCCAATACCAGCTTCAAACACAACAGGTTCATAGCTCAATCTGTAATGATTGCATCAAGAATTATAGCTCAAGCTGTAAATTGACCTTTGATAGCACTAATCAAACTATGTAGATCGAAGTTCAGATACTGAAGAGATAAAGAGATTGCACTCTTTTTTATCTTCTTATCTCATACTTGAAAGCTTTTGTTTTTGTCCAGTTGGATTCTATCAAATGGCTAAGATCAAGATGACACCAAAGATTACATTTGCAGAGTTTGTTCTCTTCAAAAAGAACCCATTTTTTTCCACAAAGGTCTTGCTAGTTTATTGTGAGATTTCACCTGGTCAATTAAAAACTCTTATGACATGTTTTTTCGTTTTAACCCTGTTTTAGAAGTTGTTCTTTCACAGGTTGTGGCATTAGCAGTAGTATCCCTAGGTGTGGCCATTGCGAGAGTAACTGATCTTGAACTCAATTTTTTTGGTGCATTGTTTGCTCTTGCTTGGATTATACAAGTGCCATCAATCAACTCTTCTGGTCTAATATTCAGCAATAATATAATTGGACTGCCTTAGCGTAAGAATCTCTCTCTCTTTCCTTTACCTGAGGCTTAAGCAATATAAGAATCTTAAGATAATACACTTTTTAATGAATGAAGATTGATGTGGAACATGAAAGTTTGTATAAAGAAGTGTTGGCTCCATGCCTTGGCTTG